TAAAAATGAAATCTTCCCGTGGATATTTAAAAGTTTTGGTACTGTCTGAAATATATATTCAGCTTAGAATCTGAAATGCTTTAGAGATGCAGTAAATAAGTGATGGAGTGTTACCTCAGGTTCACCAGCCTTGGCAGTCCAGGCTTACTCCAGGGCTGAATCCATTATGTAGATGGCATTCTGCTTACCTTAGACATATGGTAAAGGAGAGCATATAATGACAAAACTAATGTGTAATTTTGTCATTCTTTTTTTGGCTGAATATTTAGGGCACTTTGTATAAAGGTTTTTGAACTGATGTGCATAGTCAGTATTAAAGTGCTGGAGCAGGCTCAGGCCTTACCCACCAAGGGCCGGATTAAAGCACAAGATCAGGGTGCACTGCAGGGGTATCAAAAGAAGAAAAGGCGTTCTGCATCATTTCTCTAAATAGCTTCTACACGTGGTAACGAGGGGAACAGGGCAAGGCAGTGCGGGACTGCTGCAGTCCCCATGAATAGATGGGCAAGGAGGAGTCTGTTCTCAGGGTTTATTTCTAGTTTAATTGTTGGGTATTTTTGCTATCCCTATTATCGTTTGGCAAGAAACACAGAAGAAACTGTACTTCTTCCAAAGCATAATTCCTAACCTCATAGTGCAGGTCCCTCTCCCCTTCTATCCTAGACAATTTTAGAGAACATAATCTATCTGTCTAGAAATGTATAAAATACAAAGCATGAAAGATACAGAAACAAATCAAGTGGGTTTTTACACAAAAATAAGAAAGTGTGTGTAGGTGGTTGTTTTCCCAATTACTTTAATGGTGGTGCCCTGAAAAAGTAAATGATGTAACATGCGTTGCTTTTTCCCAAGTGTTTCTCATCATTTTAAAGTTCATCCCACAGCAAACCTACGCAAGTTAAACTCTAAAGCATGTGTCCCACTGAGTACCGATAGAGATCGAGAAGAGGTTGGTGAGTCCTTTTGAGATTTTTTTGTCTGCAACTGCAGGATCCTGTATATTACTGCACGTGAAGCACAAAAATTAAAGATTGATTTATAGTCATCTAACTAATATAACCAGAGACATTGTGGGAAATAATTCTGGAGGCTTACGGATAATGCTTAATTTGCCCTGGTGCCTCAAATAGCATCTAGCAGTCCCTCTCCAATTTATTCTTTTCTAATAGGAATCCAGTGTTACTGTGAGTGCCTGGGCGGATGGCACCGGAGCCTGGCGCGTCGCAGGGGTGCAGGCGTTCTCACACCGCTCTGCCTCAGCCCCACGTGGGAAAAGTTGCAACCAGGGTGTTGCAACATCAGGCAGCCGAGTGCATGGCACCGGTTCAAGGAGGAACTTTGGGGAAACTTCCCAGGGTTGTAACTGTCTGTGCCCTGGCACATGAAAGCCCAGGAAGCGTCCCAGTGCTGTAGCAATACTAGTTAAGTCCGCGTTAGTAAACCTAGCATTTGATGCAGCATGTTTAGCAAAGGTGATTTGTGCATTGTTTAAACGGCGAAGCCAACCACTTGTCCTCAAGACTGGGTGGGTAAGGCAGCTTGCAGAATGGGACAGCCAACAAAAAATCCCAAAACAATATCAGGATAAAACTTTTTTTTTTTTTCCAAAACAAGAAAAACCCCAGTGAACAACAAAACCAAGCAGCCTCCCCCCTCCCGCCCCCTGTTGTGGTTTAACCCCAGCCAGCAACTGGCTGCGGTTATTTTTATGCTGGCCTGCATAAGAATTTGGAAAGCCAGGATCGTATTCTAAATGTCTTTTTCCTGGGTGATGTGAAAGACATGGAGAGGCAGGAAAGCAGAATAAACCTGTGGTGGGTTTAAGCAGAGTTTGACCTTTGCTTGTAGGACTGTAGAAATATGATTTAGCTGAAGTTAACTGAGAAACACTAGCTGAAAAAATAATCAGGCTTCAGCTGAACGGTCGTTGTTCTTGGTTCCCTTATTTGCGTTAACATCTCTAACGTGAGATGACCACTGCATTTTGGTTTTTCTCCCTCAGTGCCATTTCTGTGGATCCAGAGAATTTTTTGCCAGGTGTCTTCAGTGATCTGCTTTGGACGATTCTCTTCGTAACGCAAAAATTAAACTCTCATACTTCTTTTGCATATTGAAATACTGAACTCTGAAAAGCATGAGGAGGTTTTAGGCTCTCTGTGATGCTGCTGTTGAAGCGGATGCCTGTGGATGTATTTGTGTAGAAGAATTACTGTTTTATTTAGATTATCCTATGTACTTAACAGCCAGATACGCTGCCAAAAAACAGCTCTGGTGGTCTGATAATTCTGTGGTTTTGTGGGGCTTCATATTTGTCCACTTGCTTCTTCAGCAATAAGCTTAGTAGTTACATATTTAGTTTATACCAGAAATGCGTTTTCTTTTAAATACATAGATGTTCTTTAACTAGAACTCTTCCTTCCCCCCCCACCCCTCCAATTTATGTTGGATCTAAACTGAGAGAGGAAGAAAACCAGTCTCAAAGTGAATTTTTTATTGTTTGATGCAACGTGTAGCGTGTTGTGTCATCTCAGAAGAGGCACTTTGGATCAAACTTCCATGTTGTCAGGCCTAGGGATTTATAGTATTTCATCAGTTTTCTCAGCAGAAGTGCTTTCTGGCATTTGGACGAGGGTGCCCAACATGCTCGTCTGCATATATGAAAGCTAAAATTTGGCTTTTTTTTAAAGAGTATCTTGATAAAAGATGGAGATACTAGAGGCAGTGAATCCGAGAATGAGTAGCTCGGAGGCAATCCAGCTATTTATTTGTAGCTTGTCGGAAAAGTGCATGGGGATGGAGAATGGCGATAGCAACTTCAAACTGTTCAATAAAAACCTTTAGCATGCTGCTGTAGGTCACAAATTTGAATGATATTTTTGGTTCAAAAATGTGATGTTGATTACATTCATAATATAGATAGGAAGTTATTAGTGAGGACCTGACTCTTGTTCCTAAAGGACTTGGGATAACTCTGGGCTTGGTTTTAGCCACAACAAAAAACACAAGGCATAGTCCCACTGTATAGGAAAGTCTTGCTTTTTATTTCAATTTTCATACAGGGGAGAGATGTGTGTGTATATATGGACTGAAAAATCACTGTGTGACAGAATGCCTTCAAAAAATACAAACCTAAATGATTTCTTGGTGAAGAGATTGCTTGCGTCCCTACTACATCATCTGCCTCCCCACATTGCCGGGAAGCAAAAATCACTGTATTGTAGGTAACTGTATTTGTAGTTTTTCTGTGCGTGGGGGGGGAATGGAGTAATCCATCAGCTTGTAAAACTGAACTAATTAACAGACAATCAGCATTGATTGAGACAGCTGCATTCTTTGCTGAGGGATTGTAAACACAGAGTCTGCACAGAGTTGTTTTTACTGCTCTAAAGTGCAAGAAATTGAAATTGTATTTGATAGTCCAAATTGAGGACTTTTTAGTGACAGTCATAGCAAGGCTGACGGTGCCACTGCAGCTAAAGCTGTTGGATTCCTTTTAGTGGGATTTGTCACCGTGAATAGTGGGGGAATTCTATAAATTATCAGCAAAGAAGTTTTTTACGGGTGAAAAAAGTATTTTAGCTGTTCTATCTACCTTAGTTGTGTTCATGGGGCAAGTAGATGTTGGCTGGCTGTGGTTCAGTGCTCATCTTGGTAGGCACGGCTTTTGCTGATCTCAAATGCCAGATTTGCAATCTTTTAAAAACCTTTTATGTATGCCTTTGTTAATGCATGATTTCTAGAAGGCCTTTATAATAATTCCTGATACACGTTTTAGGGGATGTTACTGGAAATGCTGATCTGAAAAATAGATGGTCCGTGTTAAAAATACTGTACAGAGAATAGTACTTCTGGCTCTAAACCAGCTTGCGACATTATTAACATCCAGCGTGTTATTTTTTTGTTATTTGCTGCTATACGTGCTGTCACCTCCAAGCCAGCCTCCTTGTGACTGTACATCAGCTAATTTTACTTCGTGAGTCAATTCTGCTATTTTCCTTTTCATGTCACAGAAAATGAGCTTAACCAAGTACTGCAATATGTTGTTGGGAAACACCTAGCTAGCAAAGGCATTCTGCATTCCGCCGCCCTGCCTCTTGATTTTGGTTCAGTGTAAAGTGTGATGCTGGTGCTGAACTGTAATCAGCTGGGTAAAATATTAAAAAAAAAAAAATAAAAATTTTCTGAAAGGCTTCAAGATCTGGCATTCTGGTTAATGGTGCAGAATATGTAATGCTTGCTATCGGTATGAAATGCCAGACATACGTTTTACCGTTGTGCGTTGTCGTGCCAAGCTGAGTCATTATTTGGGATTGCGATCTGAAAGAATACTGAGAGGCCTAAATGGGACTTTAGTAGTAGCAAAAACCTAAATAAAGAAAATGTTGCTTTCTCGTTTCCTATTTATATCTATAATCTTTTTTAGAAAATATCCACCAGTTGCATTTACAGGCAACTTGACAAAAAAGTTATTTTTCCCATCCTGGGAAGAGGCATAAACCTTACAGCGTGCCCAGAAAGTCAACAAACTCGGACCAAGGGAGGAAGCATGTTAGGCCGGAGTCAAGGACCGTTCTCTGAAAACGCTCTGCCAAATGCTCTTCCTGCTTAAGTTGTTTATCAAACAGCAATTTCATTTGCCAGTAAGTTTCTTCTGATCTTGTTTTTGTTACTACTTATTTCTTAATGCAAGTTCCCCATCCAGCTTCCTCCGTAAAATGCCGCGGTCCCTGCCCGGTGCCTGCCGCCCCTCTGCCTGCGCGGCTGCGCCCGGACCAGGGCCGCAGCAACTCTGCGCGGTTCGGCAGCGAGACCGTCGGCGAAGGAGCTCGGCGGCGTTTAAACGTGTCCCTTGGTCAGCAGCAGTCGTGAAAGGGGTAAAAGGGGCCAGTGAAACGAAGTCTACTGGAGGGGAGTCACTGGACAACACTTTCAAGATGTGTTTTGTAGGTTTTCCCTGGTGCACAGGCTGGTTGTTAAGGTTTTAACCCAGTAACAAGAAATTCCAAGTTAAGACTAGCCCCATCTTTGCAAACCATGTTCGTCATACATACGGTAGGACACTTTATTCATCTATTATACCACTTCTGCAGTGCCCAAAAACACGAGAAGGGAGCGAAACACGAGGTGTTGTGTTAGTTCAAGTCCGTGGTAATTTTTTCCCATCCCTCGAGGAATTGCTTTGTTGGAATGTGGTTTTAACAGTATTTTTAGGTTGCTTTTTCAGTGTGTATTTATACTTTTGTTGGTAAATATTTTATATCTGAATGTTAGGAAGCAGCTTAAGTAGCTTTCAGATTGGCGATTGCATTTGGAGACTGAAGGATTATTGAGTGCTGGTTGTGATGGACTTCAGGGTGGACAGTTGGCCTGTCTGTAATGGTTAACTGTGTTAAAAAAAAAAATCTAAAAATAAAATTAATAACATGTGTTGTCAAAGGAAAAATAATTGTGAATTTTTGCTCTAACTGACAGTGTATTAAGGATTTGCGTGAAGTTAAATAAAATGTGAGCAATGAGTTTGTTTTCATTTAGAATAAAAACAAAACAAAAAAGCTTGAGTTTTTTTTTTTTTTTTTTTTTAAACAGTAAGTTCCCAGAACTCACACTGAAACAGGGCTGTGTGTGTACATGTATTATTGATTTATTGGTGGCAACCTGTATAGCAAGTTATAAATTCTGGTCTGTGTTGCAGTATGTGTCTTGCTTAAAGCATGGTCATGCTTCATTTCCTAGCAAAGCTTAGGCTGAAAGGGGAGTAACTAAATACTTTAAATGATGTAACAGGGCTTAGCGAAAGGGTTGAACTTTTTGTTATTTAAACCACTCCTTTAAGACTACATTTTACTTTGATCTGTGGTCAAAAGAATTATTTAATATAACTCCCAAATCTGATCTTAACATGGAAGTAAGACGTTAGCTGAAGTTGGTGATGGTGTTTTCTTGCAAAATGGCAGCGTGATCCCCTTCCACCTGAACACAGTGGCTGCTGCATTGGCTTGAAACAAATGATGAGAATAGTGCATTAAGTAGTTTGTAATTACTCATCAGTTAATTGCCTGGTCTTTTGGTTTTGTTTTTCAAGGGCCAAAGATATTTTTTAAATTGTCTACAAAAAATGTGTTTTATGGGGCATGGTTGCTGTGCACCTCCTAGCTAAAACCTGGGGATTTGCTGGTATCAGCAATGCAATTGGACTGGTGGTTTTTAACTGGTGCAGCTATTCCAGGCCCCGGCACTGGTATGCATGCGGGGAGGGCTGAGAAAGGGGAGTAACTAAATACTTTAAATGGTATAACAGAGCTTAGTTAAAGGGTTGAAGTTTTTAGTATTTAAACCACTCCCGGACCTGCTGTGCTCCCGTCGGCAGCGGCAGGGAGCGGGAAGGGCAGCGTGGCCCCGGTGAGACCCAGCGTGCTGTCCTCCTGATGGCGTGGTTATTGCATTCTCCATTGCCACTTAAAAGAAGGGGTAATTTGTCTGCTGTGGTGTGGTGAGGGCTATGGTGAGTATGGCTGCTGGCATTGCGTCTTGGTCAGCTGGCAAGATAGAAGGTCAAGCAGATGTATTTTACTGTGTGTCTTGCCTAGGCAAAGTCTTTGCAAGCAACAGTGGGTTTCCTTTGGTTTCCCATAATTTATTTTATTTGGCACAAGAAGATGTAGTTTGATTCCCCACCACCCTGTAGCTGCTATGAAAGTCACATATACAATGCTGAGCCTTTTTTTTTATTTATTATTATTATTTCTTTAAAAGCAGTTAACAGTAACCAGTGTGTACATGATTAGCTTACTTAATTTTATCATGTAGAAGGCCATCCACTGCATAGGGCAGGGAAGCAGGAGTTTACATGGTTGTAATGCAGGTTGGGGGGTGACTTGCTGCTTGGCCGGGGCACGATGGGTGAGCAGGTCGCTCCGAGTCGGAGCGGCACTTGCTGCTTTGTGCTGTTCACCTACTGCCTGTCTGAAATCCTACCTTCTGGGAAGCCTTGCTGCAGTGACGTTTACATTAATTCATTACTTTTTGGCCTTTTCTCTTGTAGCTGTTGAAGCAACTAGTTTGAACCTTTGCTTTTAAGTGGAAGCGCGTGAAAATTAACACGTGGGAAGTCAGCAGAGTTGGGAGCAGTACCCTGCCGGGGTGGGAGCCACAGCAGCCTGGTTGTGGACGTGCTGTGTTCTCAAAAAGAAGGGAGCCCTCTCCCCAGCAAACATTTGCATTTACTTTTTAGGAAACTTATGTCCTTTGCAAGTGTAAGGAACTGAAATGCAAAACCTAGTAGAGTGTTGAGTAACGGATGAAGTAGGTTTGCTGGAAGGTTGGATTTTTTTGTTGGTGGGGTTTTTCTTTTGAGTCTTTTTGCCAGGTACTGAAAGCAAACTGCAAGGTTTTTGGGTGACCTTGTAATGGAGGGTGGTGGTTTTGTAATGCCGTCGGCACTGCGGTGCGGGTGGTGGAGCATCTGTGTGAGAGCGCCTTTTGAAAAGGCTTGGGGAGGAGCAGGCTCAGAGATGCAGAGAGCAGCGAGGGCTGCTGGGGTCTGGGTGACGCCTTCCAGCTGGTTTTTGGCTTGCCCAACGCTTGAGGTGAATGCGTACCGCTGTGCGGTGGCGATGAGGTGAAAGTAGACCTGGTGGGAACAGAGACAGAGATGACTAACAGTCTGGTGAGGAAGCTGAGGAACATGAGGAGGAGGACGAGAGAAGCTTTGGGGTTAGGGTTGAGGATGCTAGGAGTGAAACCTGAACCTCGTTTCTGGAGAGACGAGACCTCAGAGCACGTTGCAAGCGGTGGAGACCCGGCCCTGGGTGCTGCGCGTCAGACCTGGGGCTTGAGAAGGCGTTCTTCAGCCCTGAACTCATGTGGGTTTGAGGAGGGTGGAAAGAGGGAATAAATGATGCTGGAAGATGAAAACTACCTTTTGGAACAGATGGGCAATGTTTCATCATTGTCCTGAGTGAGAGGAAAAGCTCGTTAAATAGATCCTACAGACTCTTGGCATTAAGGTTCTTACAGCTCTGGACGGTCTCTCACTCTTTGCATTTTCTAAAAAGTTTTGAATTCAGGGTGGTGCATTTGTGGCTGGCATAGATATTTATGCAGCTGGTGTATGCTGATGGTGGCTCCTTTTGAAAAGGCAGTACTGGCATTCCCCTCTTGCAAGATTTTTTGACAGGCTTTCCCTAGGTTTGTGGTAGTGTCTGGTGTTATTGTGACCAGACAAAGCCACAACTCTTTTTTTTTTTGTTTTGTTTTACACTTTCCTTTTGTTTTGTTTTTTCTGTAAGAGCCTGTTAGTTAAGGTACCTTACTGAGAGCCGCATCGGCACCTCTGGTTTTGTTCTCTTTGCTTGTTGGGGTGGCCACCACACATGTTGACTCACTGTCCAAAAGCATTGCATAGAGCACAAAATTTGTTCCAGTTAAAGCTTGTTTAAGAACCTACTTGGAGTCAATTACTTGAGCACGCGGAAATAAAATGTGTTTATTGAAATTTCCCAACTAATTCTGTGTGCGAAAGGTAGTTGCATCAGTTTGCCAAATGGCAAAACACTTCTTAAGAAACACGTGTTTTTCAATGCTTATGGGGTTTGATTTTTTCTGGGTTTTTTTTCCTTCTCCAGGAGTGCAAAAAGCAGGCATTCTGGTCGCTGCTTTGCTATTTGTTTGTTGTTCACTGCTGATTTGTAAGGCAGGGGAATGGTGGTCCTTGGTGTTGCGCTCTCGTTGAACTCTGATCTTTCCTTTTGCTTGTATTAAAAAGGGGCTTTACGGCGGGGCAGGCATGAACTCATTTGACAGAAAAGAAACTTCTGCCATTGCTGCACTCTTGCAGTGTGTTTTACCTTTCTGAGCACTGTCAGATTGGAATTGGTACTTGCTTTTTACAGTCAAAATAGACATTAACAAAAATTCCCAATGTCAGCTTTGTGGTTACTTCCCTGGTCATAACCTAGAGCTTTATCAAGTGAGCATGCATGTTTTTCCAGAGAAACACATCAAGCTGGCAAAGCAGTTTATAATTTCTGAAATATTTCTGAAATACTTACGTGATCTGTACGTAGGCTTCTGAACAGGTGAAAATGATGGGGGTTTTAATATTGAAGGGTAGATGGCCTAATATATCGGTTAGGGAAGGGTAAAATTGCCCGAGGACAAGTAGGCTGTGGGTACGCAGAGTTGTGCCCGACGCTTCTACACTGGTGTCGTCGTTGCACTGGGAAATTTTCCTTTAATAAGAAAATTAAAAATTGCAAAAAGCTACATTGAGAGCTTTGCTAGATCTGACAGATGCAATCCTGAGAGGGGATGAAAACAAAAATGAGACTCCTGAAAACTCCTGCCGGTGCAAATTATCATGTAGGCTGGGTAACTGATTCAAATGGTGATAAAGGGAAATACCTTAAATACACAGAAACAAGATTTCAGGGGAAATGGTTACTACTGCATTTACTGGTAGAAAATTCCTAATCCACATGCAGTTGTGATTTGTGCCTATCTGTGTAATAAGCAAAACGAAGTTTATGGTGAAAATGTGCTGTTAACATCTGCAGCCACGCTTAAGGCTTTTGAAGGCGTAGCCTCGGGAGGCGTTGCGTCCCTGACTAGAAGTCTACCAGGAAAAAAATCAGTCTGTCTATAAGTTGTGATATATGTTTCTTGCTCCAGTGTAAGGGCTTTGTGGTAAACGCAGTGGGGATTAAGCATTTTAAAATGGGAGAATAACAAAATTTTTGGATACAGTTACATTGCCGTACTTGCGGGTGATTATTACAGCTTTTTATAATTTTTTCCATGTGAGACATAGAAATACTGGTTGGAAGCAGAGAGTGAATGCTAGTTATGATAGATTATGTTAGAGCAGCTTTTGGGGGGAGTGGGACGCCGAAGTGCGGTGTGGTTCTTGGGTTCTGAGCTAGCAGTGCCGGGCAGTGCCCGTAGCTGTTAGAAATGGGTGTCTGAGATGCGCATTCAGCCACGGCGAGTGTTAGGGCAGAGAAGGGCATCGGTGAGAGCTGGGCATACGAACGGAGCTGGCCAGGACATGGGGAAACACTGGTCTGTGTTATTTGTACCACTTGCACCGCTTGGAGTGCAAGGGAAGCACGGCTATGGAGAAATGGAGGAGCGTCTGTCCTGAGCACCCTCCTGCTCAGGCAGCTTCGCTCGGGGCCCGTCTCTGGCCGCCGGGAGGGCATGGGGACAGGCACAGGCTCTGCCTCTGTCGCATCTTTTCAGAACGGAGAGGATCAGTCTAATTTTCCCGTTACCTCTCCTTCCTCCTGGTGATAGAGCTGCATCGCAGAGTCACGTACGCCTTCCCCACCATCGCACTCCCAAGCTCACATCTCCTCTGTATCTGTTCTGCTTATCCCATTTCTTTCCGCGGTGTCCATAAAGCTGCCCTTGCCCCTGGCTTTGCTTTTCACACAAATTCTTTTTAGTCCAGTTTCACATACATAAGCAGAGCAGGGCAGGAGCGAGCAGCCTTGGCACCATGGGGTGCCCTGGATGAAAGCACTTTCTTCCACCTTTTGGATGGGGGAACAGAGACTTCATAAATATCCTGGAAAGCCCAGTTTCTTTCCAGAATCGTTTTCCCAAGTGAGTAGATTTTGGGGAGCCCATGGAGAGCCTTCAAGAGGTCCCAGGCAGCCCCTCGCAGGGCTGGGTGGCAGCAGGGCTGGTTCGAAGCTTCCTGTTGCACGAAGGGGAGAGCTGGGGTGCACCCAGTGCCAGTGCTGGCTGGGTGATTATAACAACCCTGAAACCTGCCGGCAATGAGGCTGGAGTTTTGTAATTACTTAGGGTCAACCTGGTGGCGGGTTGGTGCTGAAAGGGGGGATGCCACCAACTCCCCCTCCCTCCAGCTGTGGTTTCCCACCTCCCTTTTGTAATGGTACAACACCTTGTCACTGCAGGGGGGCCTGAACCGGGAACTGATTCAGTGCAACAAAAGTTTGGAGGGGAAAGGTGGGATGCTGGTTTTTAGCAGGTTTGCTTTCCTGTTGTGGCTCCCTGCGCAGCCCTGTCACTGTGGTCGGTGGCACGGGGGTGACCGAGGCAGAATGAAGAGGGACGGCTCCTGGGGAGCCTAAAAGAGGCTGGAAGTACCTGCATTAAAGGAAGACAGATTCACCTCCAAGTTGATGGTTGTTAACTGTGGATAGCAGATTGACCCTCCTAGTTTTAGATTTTTTTTTTTTTTTTATAGTGCATGAAAGCAAGCTTTTAATGTTTGTTTTCTGAGGATTGCTTTTAATGACTTCTGCACTTAAGAGCATAAGACTTTCTTGTCTCCTCTCTTCCCACTGTCTCCCTCCCACCCCCAATAAATTTGTTGAAATGGGTCAAAGTAGAAACCCCGGAGAGAGTTCTGTGGCTTAAGCAGCATGAACTGTGTCTGCCCTAAATTGATGGGATATTGGGGCGAGGGGAAAGATAATGGTCTGGCTTGTTCTCTCTCTGGTGTGCGCCAGGTAGCAACTCACTTTTCGCGGGGGCGATTGAACGGTGGCTATTTTTGGCCAGAAAGTTTATTAGCCAGTGTTCAGTCAGTGGAACTAAAGCTGCCAGGCTTTGAGTCCTTTCTGTAGTCAGGTCACCACCGCGACACCTTTCGGCCCTGGTTTCTGTTTGCTTTTCTTTGGATCCTTTTTGATTACAAAGGTGTGGAGAATGATACTGAGACACGGTCTTCTATTTTTGTTACGCTCTAAAGGATGCTGCAATATGCTCCTGTCTGTACGGTGTTCCATCTCCTTTTCCTTAATATCTACTTAGAGGGTGGTTGCGAGGCTTGGGAAGCGTGTGTACCTTTGCGTGTTTTACGGTGCTCGGGTCTGAAATCTCAAAGTTAATACTACTTACCCCGTAATACGTGCTTGCTTGCAGAAATAATGCATTGGCCCACGTTGAATTTATATGAAAATTGAGGCATCTCGTGAGAACAAGTCACAGAAGTATGAAAAATCTTCTGTTAATATTTGTAATCCTGTATCTATTAGTATGTTTAAATAAATGAAAATTGTATTGTACACAGTTGAGATCAAGTAAGGAAGTAAAAAATAGTGATTTTTCCAAATAATTTTGATTTGGAGCTTGTTAACTAGGACATGGCTTGAAGATGTAATATCTTTATTTTATATTGGATCTTGTATATGGAGTTAGGTACCTACTGTTTCTCCTCTGGAATTAGAGCTTAACGGCATCTGCTGCTTGTAAATGCTAGCCAAGATCTTGAGCTTTTGAGCTTCAGCCCACAGCATCAAACAGCTCAGTGTAGTTGCGTGATGGCAATTCTCCTTGGCGATGGCTGTACCTGAGAAGTCACATACAGAAATGTTTTGCAGTGAGAAATTATCAT